GTGCCAAATTTAAACCTATATTGGTAGGTAGCAATAAATGAGAAGGCTGAGCTTGGTGATACTTTATTATTGTGTTGATGCCTGGTTCTACTTTTGTGACAATAAGTCATAAATCTACTCTTTCAATAATTTTAAGTCTATTTCTGTCATTAGTTAAAAAACTGTACTGAAACTTCATTCTACCAAATACTATGTTGAAAATAATTGCAGTAATCTTTTCACAATTGTCTATAGGGTGAGATATAAAGCCAGCATTTACTGTTGCAACTAAAATTTTATATAAGAAATTTTAAAGTGATATAATTTTGCAATACTATATATCATCATCTTGAAAATTCTGCAAACAATATTACACAATATGAAAATTCTGGAACAAAATCATGTCTTTTGTCAACATTTTGCAGTTCTCAGTTATTCTGGAAGATGCACAAATTTGTTAAGATTTTCAATACTAGTTTTATTTATTTATTACTAGTATTTTCAATACTAGTTTTATTTTTTTTTATTAATCCCCATCATCCTCCCCCACTTGTCTTCATTTAAAAAGCCTAATCTAACATTTTATAGTGTAACAGCCAAGATACATTTTGACTTTTGCAATATTTAATATCTAATTTTGGTAAACTAACTTGGATTTTCATGTCCACACACACACAAAAAAAAAAAAAAAAAAAAAAAAAAAAACGGTTTTCCCTTGACACAGCTAATATGTTACCTACCTTCACCTCCTTGGCAATGTTTATCATTTTAAAAAGTGATGATTAGAATTGTAATAAAAGCTAAACATATGGAAGTGAATGTATACATTTTCTTTGTTTTTGAGAACTGACAACAAAAATAATAAGCACTATTTATTTATTAGATTATTTACACTATTTGTTTATTGGAATGGTTAGAAAATCATTTGCTAATTGCTTTGAACTTTATAAAATGGTAAATAATAAAGATTTCCTTACAGTTGGTTCACATACTTTACTAATTTAGTGAATGTTTATAAAATTATGAATACAAAAAATTGTTTATAAATTGGTAAATGATATTGCATTAGTTTTTAGAATGTTGTAAATATAAAATTCTTGTAAATAAACAATCTAATAATTAGTGTTTAATATTTTTGTTGTAAATTCAAGAAAAGGAAAAAAAAATATATAAATTCAATTTCATGTTTAGATTTTATTGCACTCCTAATCATAGCTTTTTTAAAACAATAAACATTGCCAAAGAGTGAAGGTAGTTAAAAATAATAGTAGTATCAAGGGGAAACCATCCTGATCACTTTTTTTTTTTTTTTTTTTACAGGCACAGAAGGTCCATGTTTGCTCTAATATTTTATTATTTGCACCTACAAAAATCTGAATATTATTTTTGCTTTAAATTGCAACCATTTAGTGTACATGGTTGCAATTTAAAGTAAATGGAGTAATGACGCAGTAATAGTTTCAAGATCTATGACTTCTAATTTTTTTGTTAATCTGTTTGCTATTGCTTTCATTATGTCAGAATTTACTTAAGCAAACATCTAAGTTAACATTTTCTAATGAAATGAGTTAATAAAGTAGCAACAGTGTCATTAAGATCTGTGTCTTCTAAATTTTTTTGGTTAAAGTGCTATTGCTTTCAAATATAATTTGCTTAAACTAACATTCTTATTAATGAGGACTAAAAGATCAACCTTGAATATTGTAATTATGTAAAAAATTATGTAAACAATTATGTAAAAGAATGCCCAACTTGAAAAGTTATTTCAAATGTTCACATTTTCCTCATCCATAGCCAAAGAACGAGTGGTGGTTGACTTTACAGAGAAATCTATAGATGAATTTGGCATCCCAGATGGAATGACAATTGATTTGAATGACAAGATATGGTTGGCTTGTTATTTCAGTAGCAGAATATTTCAAATAGACCCTGAAACTGGTAAGTTTTCAACAATAAATTACTGTTATAAACATGTATGGTAGCACGAGAGAACAAACGAAACAGTAATTACTGTTGGTGAGGCTAAAAGAATAGAAGACAAGAATTAATATAAAATACTTTGTATTGCCAACAAAGATGTGAGAGGAATGTCTCTTTGTGGGACTTGGAAGGAGGGTAGTGTTGATACATGCATCAGGTTGGTTGACTGAGGTCACTGGTGAGGAAGTTGACAGCTTGTCCACTTGCTGCATCTTTCCAACACTTATGAGCAGCGTTCTTAAAACCAAATGTGGTGGATCATGCCATCAATTTTTTTTCATGTTTTTTGCTTTGGCAGCAACATCCATTATTGGCTTCTTTTATATTGTGATTTATATTTTTTTTTCGGGGAGGGGAGGGGGGGAATTCTTTTGTCAGCTCAAAGTGATGCTTGCAATCCCCATAGAGTACGAATGCTTTTACTTTCGGTTTTTGATTCTTCACATTCACATCTGGTCGACATGTAAAGTGAATCAGAAAGAGATCTAATTTGAAGCAGAGTAAACACATTCAATTCATTTTTATGTATCTATCATATATGAAATGATAAATATATAACTTCATAACTATTTTCACATTAGTTGAAAATTTAGATCTGCCAGTTTTTAATAACTCCAAGATAGCAACTAATAAACACCCAGTGCATTTATTGATCTCTTTGTTATATTATATGCTATCATTAAAATTATTATTTATTACTGGGTAATAAAAAAGTTTGCTAAATGCAGGCTGTTTGGTAAGTTACTGTGAATTTTTCTAATCATATTTTTATATTTCAGATTTGGTTTTAACAAGTGAAGAACATAGTCAATTCCTATTCTTCTATATTGAAACATGTCTGTTAATAAAACTATATGTGCATAATGATTTTCTGAACACACTGTATCATGTCAACTCTTATAATTTTATTCATCTTGTTTGTACTTTTATTATTCTAGGAATAGAAACATTTTTCTGGGGAGGGAGTTATGCAAGGCAAACATAAAATTAAGTGAATCTTGCTATGGTTAAAATGTCTGACCTGGAGATAATTTTATTATATAAATGATGTCTTATGATCAAGACTTGTGGCATTTCCAGGAGTCCAGCCAATAGTACTCCATGCCCAATTCTCTTGTTTTCTTTTTAACAAGAAATTGAAACTCATTTCTCTCTTTACAACAGGTAAAATCCTCCAAACTATCAAGTTTGAAACCAGCAACATTACATCATGTTGCTTTGGTGGACCAAATTATGACGAGCTGTACGCAACATCTTCAACCATCGGCTTAACAGCAGAATCGCTTGCCAAACAACCTCTTGCTGGTTCCATCTTTAAAGTAAATAATATTAATGCAAAAGGTGTGCCAGGAATTGCTTACCAAGGTTAAATGAATGTCTTCCCAGATTTTAAAAGTAAAATTAGATGGCATTATATTTTTCAAAGTTTCTTTAATTCTTCACTCCACATCACAAAATACACAATTATCAGATTTGTTTGTTGAATACAATCAAAATAACTTCTACTCTCATGGTCACTGGGAAATTTGACTTCTATTGAACACTCTTCAGAATCCAGTTTATTAGAAATAATTTCAAACATTTTCATTAGAAATTCTTTTTTACTTCTAGCTTTTCTAAATGGTTATTTAGACATTTTAATTTCACTTAAATAAATATATTTTAATATACGTATTTCTATGATTTGAATAATAAAAAAAACTACAAACATGATTAATTTCTTTTTCTTTTTAACAGAAGTTTTTTGTAGATAAATTTAATTGAAAATTCTATACACATTCATGTTTGATGGTATATAATACCCCACCCCTACCAATCACCATTTACTTTAATATTAGAGTATTATGAAATTGAGTAAGATAAGTATCGGGTGTCTACAATATCTGGGTAAATATTATCCAAACAGAATCTTTAACTTTACACAGAAGTACTAAGAGATATTTTTTAATGAATGTAGAGGGAGATCTTATGCCATCTAAGAAATTATTTACACCAACATTAAAATTTAATTCTCCACAGACAGAGATTGTTCTGACTAAAATTTAAGAACATGTCCATTTTGCAATCTGCTCAAAAGGTACGACAAATATAAGCCCCAGTCATCATCTTACATCTACAAAGTTTTTCAAGACAGTTGATGCAATACTTAATGTTTCAGAAAGAAACAAAATGAAAGCTTTATATTTTAAGCATCTAGCATAACCATGACAATTAACTCTGCTAATTGGTAGTAAAAAAAAAAACAATAGACTTTAAATGAATACAAGAAGATTTAAAAGAAAACTGATTAGGTCAGATTTTGATAAGTGAATCAAGCCAAGAACTTTTCAGCATCTCCCCAGAAAATATAATAGGCTATTGTTAGTAAATGCCAATTTGATCTTGGATACTAAACAAAAAACCACATGAAGGTGGTGAATAAAAAAAATTCTTTTAAATTTAATAATTTTATTTTTATATAACCTCCCCCAATATTAAATTTTATAGATTTTTTTTGCTATATATCAAAAATAAAAGTATAATAATAATCACTGACCAAAATTAAAATCAACAGTAAAATGTACTTTCAAGTTTTCACAAGCATTTTATGATGTGAAGTAATAAAGAAAAAAGCAAATATGTCATTGTATTAAATTTATTAAAGAAAAATAGAACCGCACAATGAGATTTTTTTACATTGAATAGAACTGACTGACCAAAAAGAACAAAAGCAATCCACGGCAGAAATCTTCATCCATGATGCTTCATTTTTCTTTTCTTTTCTTTTTTTAAATTGGCCAATAACAGCTTTTGACATGAAAATTAAATCCATTGGATGTAAAATAAATGTGCACCTACAGATAGAAGCCACTGAACTTTTTTCTAGACAGACAAGAGCCTTCACATAAGACAGGACACATTAATATAATCCAAATTCAAATGGTTCCAAACAAAGAAACCACTTAAAAAAACAGATGACATAACAGAGAAGGCTTAATAATAAAAAAATGTCAGGATAGCTTGGGCTTGAAAAATCCAGCCATTTGTTCAAGTTTGAGTCATCAGCTTTTCTTTGAACTGGGTTTCAATTCATCAAAACATGAACGCAGGAATATATGGGGCTTCATTCTCTGAGGATCAAAACCTTCATGTCCCTAAATATTTAAAAAAAAAAATAAAAAAAATAAAAAAATAAAATTAAGAACAGGAGAAATTAAGATCCTATTATTATTAATATTTTTAATATTCTTAACTGTATTTCTGACTGATAATCTACTCAACATAAAAATCAAGTACAAGTAATTTGATCATTATTTCTTTTTGTTCCCACCATTTCCTGCAAGTGGCACTTCAGAGGCATCACTGGAAACTAGGTATTAGGTTACTTTATGCAAAGACAACATCTTTGTGCATGCTGTTCAAATTATTCTAACTCTTTAGATTTATCTCTTATTTTATTATTTACAATTTATTCTGTAACATACAAGAAATAGAGTTACTTTTACATAAACAAATGTCATCAAAACAACAGCATCGAGATTTTGTGAGTTTAAAGATTTTCATGTTAAGAGATGTATTTAAAGTTATTGTTGTAAATTAACTGACCTTTGACCAGTCATAACTTGAAGCATAAGCAAATATATTTCCTTGAGCATTGAAGCAACAATTGGTGAGAGGCTGATCAAACTGCTCAGAGTTTTTCAATTTAGTGCGTGCGTCTTTGTCCCAAAAACTGAATCTGCCATCAGAACCAACAGTGGAGAGAGTTCCATGGACAGGATGAAAAGCAATTCCATTTACCTAGAAATATTAAAACAAAGATGAAGTTATTAAATTAAACTAGAAGGTGCATTAAATTATGCAGACAATTTCAATTTCAAAAAAAAAAAAAAAAAAAAAGATTACCAACACACACAATACAGTGTAGGTAAAATGACGATAAATCATATATGGATTAATGTTTTGGCTTAGAAATAAAACTTTCTCTGAATCATTTCTGCTTATGATAAATTTAAAAAATAGAGAATTCTTTTTTTTTTTAAATTGAGTTCACCTTAAGCAAGGCAACAAAGCCACAAGAGGTTAGTGGGTGTGGAAGAATTAGAAAGAAGAAACATTACTAGAGAGCACGAACAAAAGAAACGTAATCAGGATGACAGTATGCAGTGTTTATCGACTTGCAAACAAGATTAAATGGCTAAAACTAAGAAATATTAATGGTTCTTTTGAAAAAGATTAACAGTTTAAATTAAATATTAAATGAAACTAATTGCATGGGCCTGAACATAAAAATCAAGAAGTTATAAAATGTGTATGTGTGTACATTATATATATATATATATATATATACACACACACACTTTAAAAATGTCCGTTTTTAAAGCCCTAATAAATTTATCTTTTATATGAAACTCACTAGAAAGTAGAAAATAAGAATTAAGTCTTGAAACAGTATCAGCAAATTTAGAAATACAAGCATAGATTGGGTAACCCCCCCACCACCACCACCACATGTGCTTCAGCAATACCAAAAGACTACTTCAACAACTAATTCCTGCAACATTGATCGTAACAGTAGATTTCTTTTCTACTTTCTATTATAGCTGCTCAGTCTGTCTACCTCAGATGGATATATGTGCGTTTAGATGAGGATATACTCAGAAGGCTTACAGTAGAAATCTTTGTTGTCTGTCAGTTCTTATAAATTTGAATTTTGCCCCAGAGTACTTGGTACCATGCAGTAGTTAACATTTGGGTTAAGGACAGCAGTGAGAGCAAGTTCAGTCCTTAATGATTGCTCTAAGGTCATTAGACAACATAGGCAAAAAGAAAGACATTGCATATATATTTCTATGGATAATTTATAATCAGATATTATTTCTTATTATATTAAATATCATATGTAGTGGATAATTGTGCTTATGAAGATATTCATGTTTTTTTTTTAAGAATGTAAATTAATGTCTTTCAGCCTGTGCATTCCAGAGTCCTAACAAAGAAAATGTGTCTTCTGAGAGGTTACAAAATCAAGAGGAGACAGGTTTTAACCCTCTCGGAAAGCACAATTACTTTATTAAGACTCCTGAATGCACAAGCTGGTAGACGTAAATTGACACCATTTCAAAAATAGGGTGTGTCTGTATAAAAACAAAAGGAAAACTTATCTTGTCAACAAAGGACACATGAAGCATTTACAGTATTCACAGCAGCCTGTTATATTAAAGGTTCTGCAATTATTGTTGAAAATTCAACAGTGGTTAAATGCATGGATTTCAATGCTATACCAGTTGCCATTATTTCTACTCAAACCCTCCATGAAAAGAAGATATCTTTTATTACAATAATCAACTTACAGAATTCTTGAAAAATATGAAACCTGGGTTAAGAAAACTCCATTTTTGGAGTGACAGATGCTGTGCCCAATTCTGATCACAGTATGTCTCATTTACTCCCCCACCCAGTAGATTTGGAAATAACATGGAATTATGGTGAGGCTCACTATTTTAAAGGGCCACATGATGGCATAGGTGGTGCAGTCAAATGTAAAGCATTTTCTAATGAAAAAGCTACTAAGGAAGTGATTCAAAATGCACACCATTTTGCAGAATATGCCAATCAAGTTGGCAATTTCAATGCATTATACCTTGACAAATCTGATGTCCAATATCCAGATGCTAATGACAGTATTTACATACACAGGAAAGTTCACCAGGTGAAAAAAACAATGAGAATTCTGTTGAATTTCACTACAATTCTCAGTACAAAAATACCTCAAGTTCTAAGGAAGATAAATTATGAACATGAAAATGGTAATATTGATTTTTATGAAGATATTTCAGTTAATGATGAAAAGGGAAGTGTCACAAATGAAAAAGAGCATATACCACAAGTTGGAGATGTAGTCAAATATGAGACTAAATGTAAAGTGTTATCTTATATGGTTATTCAGTCAATAATGAAAATGAACAATATCTTGTACGATACATGAAAGGTGGCAAAAAACATTTACTTTGAAGGAAGATGACTGTGTTGTTAAAGGAGATTATTGTCAACATTATAAAAAAAATTTTAATTGAACACGCGAGGTCAGTATCTCATTGAAATGATTCTGATATGTAGTTTATGAATACAAGGCTGAAAAATCACAATACATAAGTTGCCATGATATAATTTTAATCAAAGTGCTCATTTAGCATAATGCATGTTGCAGTAAGGTTCTGTATAACGAAAGAATCCAGTGCAAGTAAATGTGCATGTGCTCTTTTTTAAAAGAAGTACTGTTTGAGAGGAGTTAGACTGTGGGGCCTCCCAAAGAGCTGTATAGTCATCGACATCAACCACAAAATTTTATATACTCATTCTAAAAAATGTGACAAGTAGAGAAATGCAGAACTACATGTGAAAGTAAATCTTGATAAATGCATGAAAATGTCCCACAAGTTAATAAATTGTCTTTAAAAAACAAGGAGTTTAGTTCTACACCAATTTTGTACTCTTCAATGTCTTTTGCACAGACCTGATGCTTTAGTTGCAGACAAGTCACCAGTCCCTCATTGGCTTTGTTAATAAGCCATGTGGAGGAGTTAGACTTATTTCTCTTCACTATACTGTGCTGTTGTATGGACACTTTGCCATTTGAAAACAGAAAAATTTAGATCCCAAAAACATATTCAAAAGAATAGAAAACAAGGAAAAATAGATTCAAAGTTACTAGTCGAAATTCTTATATTACAATAAGAAATTCTCAAATTACCTCCCTTAGATCACGTAAATATTTTAAAAATAAATTTCGCCAAAATGCTTTGAAAATAAATGCACTTAATACATTCATTTAATCAACTAGTAGGATTAAAAAAACAAACAAAAAACTAATAATCCTTTAAACTCAAACCAGTTAGTGAAAGCAACACATGGCAGATGCAACATTGTCAAATTTAACCCACATAAACTACTACATCAATAAATATATCATGAAAACTAGTACTAAGCATTAAAAAGCAAATTCATTGAACAATTACAGGAATATTCAGTTACATCATGAAATTAATGTAAATTGAAGGCTGCAGTATTATGACTTACAGTTGATGCCATTTTTTTTTTGAAGCCATTCAGTGAGACTGCTTCATTATTATCTCCCACTGAGAACTGCTTAGTTTCATATACCATTCAGAAAATTGAACTTAAAAAACTAATGTGAATCATTAAAAAGTCAGTTCTCTGCATGTTCAGAAGTGAAAATAACATGTGTCTGGTGAGTCAGCAAGTAGTGAAGACATAATGCATCAAACATCCCCACCAAATTCCACAAAACCTTGGGCCACATGCAGATGATAGCAGTTATATTAGAACTTGTAATTTTATTATACTTGATTGCAGAGTCAAATTTTAATAATGTCATGATCCCTTAAAAAGTATGTGATGTCCGTTTTCAACACCAACTTGTTCTTAACAAATCAGATTATTATTTCAAAAATATTGTGTCAGCATAAACATGGAACGAAAAAAAAATGTTGCATAATTAACCATAAAGAAATTGCTATTTATTCTTACCGACATACAAATATTGGTGTGTGTGTGTGGGGGGGGGACCCTTGACCATTTATTAAGAGTACAAGCAATAATGAGTTTGTCTATATTTCTGTACAAGCAATAATATTTAGCTTAAAAAAAAGAAAAAGAGAGAGAGATTTCAGTAATACTCTATTTTAAGAAATGAGAAAGAAAATTTAATCTGGGCTCAGATGAGGTTTATCATGTATAAAAAGAAAGTGTAAAATACTCATTTATCACACTAGTACTCTGCCACAGGTGTTTTTTTTTTTTTTTTGCATGGTGTGTGTGAAAAATACTAGAAATCATTTACAATTCAGAATGGGTTGGTTTTTAGCTCTTTAATTATATCTTTAATTCTTTGCCTTCAATAACTCACCAATACTAATTTTTAGGGGTGAGAGCTTGCAGAGAATTTGAAAAATAATAAAAGGTTTTAAAAAACATATTTTGCTTCACAACATGCCAAAACTGCAATGTTTTTTTGGAAACTGCTGAGAGTTAGACCATCAAATTTTCAGGATATCAAAATTTGGTTGGAGAGGATGATAAAAAAAAGAATAAAAGAAATCCATGAGTGTTAAGTGACATTCCCTTATTTTTTTTGAAAGAGGCAGGGATGATCTCATCTGGTTTTAACTTCAACTTTATATACTTGTTTACAAAAAAAAAAAAAAAAAATCCTAAAGTAAACTTCCCTTAATAGTCAACAAAATATCATACATATATGCCAAGTAACTATTGCTTCTTTTCTTTCAACAACAGTTTTAACAAACAAAAATTCTAGTTATCAAGGAGATCCTCCAGCAAGTGGTCTACATGCTTTAGTATTTTTTAGAACTAGATTCATTTAAATATCTTACATAAAAATTCCTCAAATACACAAATTAATTTTTTATTAATGTATTGCTAAAAAATAATCTAACAAAAAAATCCAAAATATTTCTGATGAAGCTAATTTTTATAGCAAAATATGTTAAATCTATAAACATTTAATTACTAGTCGCTTATTTGATTTATATATACATAAGACAAATGCTTGAAAGCAAAATTTTAATTCTAGGTAAAAACACAAATAATTCATATATAATCCCAATCTTTGACAGTTCCACAAAACAATGAAAAAAATGACAAAAGCAGGTAGTGTGTGCGTGTGTGTATATATTATATAAAAAGCATACTTTCAAAAAATTCAATACCATATGACATTTATGAATGTATAAGCTAAAATAAATAAAAAAAAAAATCTTACTGCATAAATATCCTGCATCCCATTTGTGGTTCCATTTGACCGATGGCATTTGAAGGTAAAGTTATCCTTTGGATTTGTTGGCTGAACATATTGGATGGCAACTCGACCTTCAATGCTACCAAGGGCAAAGCCAGTCGGTTGGTTGGTCTTTTTGTCCATAAAAATACTCACACACCGATGCTAGAAGAGACAAATTAAAAAAATTTTTTTAAATTTGCAAAATGTGCAAATCTATTTTTTTCTTGTAAATTAGGAAGTAGAAAGGCTTTTTTTTTTTTTATATACAATCAATTTCACTCAAGAACTAATATGATCTTAATAAAAAGAATATAAAAATGAAAACATTTCAACATAAATCATCAAGCAGATAAAATAAAAATACAATGTAGTTCATTAGTTAATGTTGCTTACTAAAATATATTTAATCCATACCTGAAATTTCAATGGAGACTCTAGTTTTCTGAATTCTTGTGGTTGATTCTCAAGCTGGTAAATGATCAGACCTCGACCTGCTGTTCCTACTACAGCCATTGGATATTTCTATAAAATGACAGATTTGAACATAAAAGCACAAAAATCCAATAGTATATCATCGTCCTGACATGAAAATATTGGTCAATATCAATTGATTTAAAACCATAAAATATATAGTTTATAAAAAAAAAAAAAAAAAGTTTAGAAAAGAAATCAGATAAAAAGTTTGATGTCATGAAACGGGTATCTTTTTGGCATTCATCAGAAAAGAATTACACTCAGTTAATCCTTAGATTTTTTTTAAGACTGGAGGTTTTGTATGGTTATTGTATAATAAATTAAGAGATTAAAGGAAATTTTTTTTGAAAGAAAAAGATGAATAGTTTTCAATTAGAAATCCTGTTATGAAAATTTTCAATTCCATAACTGATTCAATTCAGTTCAGCTTTTTTTGCAATAATCTTAAATTGATTTGTTAATGACCAAATCAATAAAAATTAAAATCACAGCAATATCCCACACAGATGAGCATTGTAAAACATTTGAATACATGAATTCCTCCAATCTTTGGAGTGTTTCATGATTTAACAGAAAAAAAAATTAATGAACCACATTTCCATCTGTGATTCTCTGCTCAAATACAACAAAAAACAATTTTTGAAAATATTTAAAAGCAATAAAAAATGGATTATTTATAATAATGTTGAACAAAAAAGGTCATGGGAAAACAAAATGAGTCACTGTTAATCACACCAAAATCCAGTCTGCACCCAAAGGTGATGCTGTATATCTAGTGGAATTGGAAGGGTATTGAGTACTCTAAGCTACTTCTGCTAAATCAGACAGGCATTGTTTCAGTTACTGAAAAGTACCCAGAATTGGCTAACTGTAAGGGTATTGTCTTTCCTTAGAACTATGTCAGATCTCACATTTCTTTGCAGACACAGTAGAAATTGGTATGCATGGTACGCTTGGATATCTGACTACATCTGCCATACTCACCTGGCCTTGCACCTTCAAATTATCACTTATTTAAAAAATTCTCTTAATGGCAACAACTTTATCTGAAAGACTGTAAAAACCACTTACCCAGAAAGATGCCAAGTCCTGGAAGGATGGAATAATGAAAATACCTCAAAATGGCAAAAGATAGAACAAAATGGCACATATAAAGTTGAATAAAACTTTTGTTCTGACCCAGTATATAACCTCTGGTCCTGACTAAAAACAAATTAATTTTAAAATGAAAAACAAAATAAGTAACAATATTAATCCACTAAGTTACTTACAACATCAGCACAGTAACATCTTTCTGGTAGATTTATCACCATCATAGGGTTAGGACTCCTTGTATCCCAAAACTATATTGTTTAAAAAAAAAAAAAAAAAAAAAAATTTATACAACAGAAGTCAGTTAAATCCATTAATGTTTTCTCATAATTTTAGGAAGTAAATTTTGACTAATTTAATTTTAAACCTAGAAAAGTTACAGTTTGCATTTTTTAAAGGGGAAAAGAATGAACACAAGCATATGTTATATGAAAAAAAATTTCAATTGGTTGCAGGCTTTGCTTTATTTAAATCAGGTTTTGTAGGAAAATCACATATTTTGTTAATTTTTTTTAGAACAATCACAATTATACATAAGGTGTCCATTAATTATTATATGTAAATGGAGAACAATGTTGCCATAGATATAATACAAACATCATAATGCTATGATCTTAATGGGCTCTTTTGTACATTACATTGATAAGGCTTAAAACAAAAAAAACATAAAAAACAAACACAGGTCAAGTTAAAACATTGCAAGATTACCTATAGTTTAATCTGGAACTAAAATGTAATTTTTACCTTATTCTAACATACTTACACCTAGTTTGGGTTTAAGGAAAAGTTTTAAAATATTGCACACCTACTTTTAATGTTTTATCCCAACTGCCAGTCATTACACAAGAATAACTAGGAGCTTTTATCCAATGAACTGTCTTGATCGGAGCATCATGCTATAAAAAAAATTAACAAGTGAGAAAAAACAATTCTGTAATGATATTTGAAAGGAAAAGTTATTTTTGGTATATAAATACATTATGCAACACACATAATAAATTGTTTCCTTACCATATGCATGAACAGTTTTGAAAGCAATATCTGGATAGTACACTTCATTTTATATTGATACAGCTTTGTTAGCTGTATAATTCATTTTATAGAGAATGAAACAAAGTTTTTATTTGTAATAATTGATTTTTATTACAATATTTCATGGATTATATCAAAGAATAACATAAAAAGATAAAAAAAAATCTATTAAATAGGGATTTTATTTATTCATTTTTCTTACAAAACTCAAAACTAAGCAAACATTAGAAACAATACTTTGTAGTTCGTTATATGAAAAGTTAGTTACCTGAGCTATTTGGACAGTTTGGTTACTTGCTAGGTCCCACATTTTTGCAGTTTTATCACATGAGGCAGTGAAAACTTTGGTACCATCCTGCATTAGGAGAAGGAGAAAAGCATCTTTGTATTCTATCAAATTCATTAAGAAGAATGATTTACTACAATATATACCATAGAAAATGCAATTTTAAAATCCATTGCACATAGGAATATACTCTGATCAAAAGTTGAATAAGCTATTTTAAATCTTTTCTTTATCAAAAAATATTTCCCTTCAGCCTCAATCCATTTAAATGTCACATGTAATAAATAAAACTTAAAAATTAGAATAACTTACATTATCAGCATTTAAAAGTTCATAACTGAAATTAACAACTAAGACAATCAATATACTTTATAGCTCTATTATGAAGAACTTGGCCTTTAGAATCTACTTTTAATATTAAAAAACAAATTGTTTCTAAAATTATAAAACAGATATTTGGTCCCATGTCTGATTCAAAAACCTTCACCTGTTTGCTACCAGATACAATTCATCAAGTTGTCAGGTTAGTGTCACAAAATATATCCTACAAAGTTTTGTTATTCTTTTGCAAGATATATTTACTTTGGTGATATGACAAGCAAACATTTATACATCTGTATAGACTTGTTTCAAGATATATCATACATGATTAAAAAAAATTGAAATATTTTAAAACATGCTTATGTATATATTACATGTATTAAATAATCTTAAGCTCTGGTACAAAAGAATAACATTATCCCAGGAAGGAAAGAATATTAATTTAGGATGGCTGGTTAGGTTAATTAAAATTCTATTCTAAGCAACTAATTTCTAAAAATAAAAGAAAATTCTAACTTCTCACCAATAGTGATAGGTTTTTAATAAATGGAACATGCAAACATACATGCACACAATCAAAAAATAAAACTTTTTAAACTGATGAATGAGGGGGGGCTTAGATTTAGATATATGTATTAGTTATCTGTAAACACACATACACAAAATGGCTCTAATTGTACAGACTAATTTTGTTTAATAAAGAAAAAAATTTTAAAAAAGCAAGAAAATTATATTTTTTATGTCAATTTTTTAGTTAAACTTTAATGAACCATTAACAAACTACATGAGTCATGTTTTCTGCTTATAATTTAAATTGAAAATACAAAGGAGATTTTTATAAAATGACAAACATGAAAATTCAGTCACAGTGCAAGGCAGGTAAATAAAAAAAATTTATAAGGACTTTTTGAACCATGAATAGATGGAATCTGTTAATCTTATTTATATTGTTTATAAATTGGTTGAGCAGGAAGGAACAAAAACTGGCATCACAGAGAAAAAATAACAATTAAATATCCTATATCGGCTCCAAGAAAATAGACACCTGAAGATAGCCAGAGGGTGCTTGGCTGAAACATATCTATAATATCTCTAATAATCAAGATTAAAACAATAGCTTGAATAAATTAAACTATATTGGCAATTACTCATCTCAAAAATTTGTTTTGTATTTATTCATTTTTTTTTTCTAAAGAGTTTGTTTTTATTATGCTACTAACTACTATAAGTAGTAAAGTTCTGAACAATTCCTGGATGATGGTGAAAAAAAAGTTTTTTTTATTCATTTGTTGTGCATATTTGTTGATTTGTTTTAAAATTAAAACTTTTCTTCACAAGGAAAACTATACTGAGAAGTTATATTAAAAAATATATCAAGCATCAAATGGGTCAAAAGACATCAGATAAAATTACAAAATTGTCTTTAAATGGGACTGGCTATGTCAGTTTTCAAAATCTTATGAAATTAGGAGCAACATTGCCTAATCAAAAGATCAGAGGTCATACTGAAAATAAGGTCATATATATCCAATATAAAAACAAGCAGGCTTGGCCTTTGAAAAGTTTTCTTCCAAGTATATATAAAATATTTATATCATACATCTAAGTGGCAACCATTTAAAATGAATTTATGAGAAGACTTCTAGAACAATATAGAGTAGCCATGTTGTTCCAATAATGACTATTTACCACTCTTTTTTAAGAGAAAGGAAAGTGTCTATGGACAGAGAACTTACTGGCATAATACTCAGCAATAAGAAAGCTATAAACACAACTTGATAATAAGACAGCAGCAATTACATCATTATTAACTGGCAGTCCAATAAGTATCTGGAGAATTAAACATCTAAAAACAGTTTGTAAAATACTTTTAGGTCATGATTATATAGGGTGCAGCAGAAATACCTCCTACATAATGGTAATGGTGTCTTCCTCTACCTAATGTCTTACCATTATGGAGAAGGTATTTCTACCACACATTAAACTAAATTAGTAGTTGATTTAAATCTATTATCAAACCAACCAAATGGGCTGCTGTCTTGCATGTGTGGCACACAATTACATATTCACCATTATTTGCAAGAACTTGTTGCTACTTATTAGGTAGCTCTTCAGTATTTTTTAGTAAAATTCTATGGGTTCTAATGTAAAAATACATATATTTGAATGCTAATCTCTGGGTGAATTTCAAACTAATTTCATTGAAGGTTTATTATTTTTTTCTATTAATTTACATAATTTTGTCTGAAGTTAATATACTCAACTTCAAACACACAATTGAGACAACATGAAATTACTTTCACCCTTGTTTATCAAGCTACACATAAGATAACATCACAAAGCTTACAACTTCCTTGCCTTTCCTCCAATATATTATGGCTCACTTCACAATAAGTATAGACATGGGAGGTGGGGGTTATTGGTTTTGGGCATCTCTTTATTATATATGAATAAACAACAATATTAAATCTCTAAATTATCTTTAATTAAACCTAAAAAGTGTATCACCAAATCAAAGACTGGGAAACAATTGACACCATGGCTACAACTGATAGAATTTGAACAAATCAAAGAATTAATGCAACCTAAAAACTTTAAGAATCTCAGTACAAAATTCAAACATTTTATTAAAATATTTAACCAAAATTAATGACAGCTTTGTTTTTCTTGCCAACATTTTATGCTAAGAGAAGGAAAAAAGTTTACATCACTCCAATCAGCATCAAGGACGGCTCCTGTGTGCGTTTGTTGAGCCTTAGGAATGGTTTGGCCATTGGTCTGAACCTCCCAACAACGGACCTGGGAATTAAAGAAATTAAAATTAAACATTCATATATAAAGTAACCAGAAATAACACTTCTCAGCCAATTCAAATCTACAGTTATATCTATGATACATTTATTAATGATCAACAACTCCATGCTATTCCCTTCAGCTAAAATTAATATGAAAATAATTCATTAATTTTCTTGACAGTTGGTAGTACAAAAATACAATTAAAAGAAATGGTAATTAACTGAATTTAAATAATTAGAAAACAAAACTACAACTATAAATCTCTTCCATTAATTTACACAATTTCAACAAAGAATTATTATACTTACATTGTTATCCCAGCTACCAGCAATCAGATATGTTGAGGGCAATGTACTTGGACTGAATTTGACAACTGTAACACTATCATCTGGTGGAGAGGTTACCTAAGTTTACAGAAAATAAAAACGTTCTATACTATCAATTGTGGGATATTTATTATGCACAAATCAAACATTCCCTAATATTTTCCTGGTTTTGATCATAGCATCAACCTGAAATATTGCTGGATTTTAGGTATAAACTAAACTACTGCTTAGGGTCTCACAAGCTGCAGAAGTTACAAAATAAAGAAAAGGCAAAGATTCTAGTTTTAGCATAGTTTATATATATATTATATATATATATATATATATATATATATATATATATATATATATGTGTGTGTGTGTGTGTGTGTGTATATATTTAGGCAGCATATATTCATTCAAACAGGTTTGGTTAAATAATTTAGACATATTATGTCTGTTTATTTTTGTTTTAATCCTTTCAAGTCTATGAATCAATTTCTTGGTAGCAGTAGAAAATTGATTAAGAAAAATACCAAAATTTTCTTTCAAATAATTTTTATTTTCTCCCAAGAATTTTCAGTCTTATCTAAGACCAACTTCAGGAGATTAAATTGTCTGTGTATGTTTAAACGTATTTCTGTAAATTCAAAAAATTTTTACTGTTAATTTTACTGCGTTTTTTATCATTCTATATCAATTTCAAATTCACAAGGTTTTTTTCCTCCATGCAAGGGAAGCAACTTTTGTATTGTACTTTTATTATTTGTGTATGTTATGTTTTCTGCTTTGTATCCTGTAGAGCCGGGTCCAAACCATGGTCCTTAGGCTCTATAGGAGAATTGTCATTTAATTGATAGCACTTTTCTTAGTATTTGGGATGTTCCTAGTAGGATGACATTCCTTTTCTCACGCGACCCAGAGCTCCAATTATTATTTGTAGTCTCAGCCTTCATTCCCCATATCCTGTTAATCTCCAGGTCCTTGTATTTGAACAATTTCGTGATAATTTTTATGGAGGTGTTTCTCTCAGATGGTACTGCTATGTCAATAAGCATACACTTCCTGAATTTCATGTCTGTTATAATATCAGATCAGTTGGCTTTTATTTCACTGTCAGTTTGAATTGGCATGTCCTAGAGGATAGTTATATCATTATTTTGGGTAACTGTGTTTGGTTGGTGTTCATACCATCTCTCAGCGGTTTGAATTTTGTGCTTTTTAGATATCTCCCAGTGCACATGTCACTACCTTTTTATGTTTGTGGGTATATTATTTTTTTTGCCAGTTCCGAACATCCTGAGCTAATATGGTTGAAAGGCTTTGGTGCTGAGCTGCAATAATTAAGCCTTCTGTCTCAGTTTTCAGCACTGTGCTCCTCAGTCACTGATGTGTTTTCTGTAGGTTCACAGCTGCTTCTTTTGTTTTTATGTATTTGCCATTCAGTTTTGTAATTTCATTTGGCCAAGTTATTTTGCTTTCTGTTTTACTGGTTTGGCATAGATGGTATTCACTTTGTTTTTTGTTGTTAGGATTTCAGGTATATTAAGGATAAGCTGTTTCTTGAAGAGTACAGCTTTGTTGATGGAGTGGATTTGCTGCTTTTACTATTTGTAGGAGAGGGTCATTGGTTTTTGTGAGGTAGGCTTCCACTATTATATATATAATAAAGGTAAAAAAACTGTTGGTATATAATCCAAGTGGACCCTAGTAATACAAGATATTAAAACTGATCCACAAAAAGTTCTCAATGTATTTATTATACAGAGAAAATGAATAGTAGTAAACCATAAAATCCAAGATTACCTCATATGGGGTATAGGCCTATTTCAACTGGCGAAAACAGTCTTATTCAAGTATATAAACTTGTGTGTCAGAATTAGAAATTTAACTGTGACAGCTGTCCAAAAATTAATACAGAATTTATCCATTTCAATGTTTCAATCAGACGAAAGGCACAAGACAGTTGTCAGGGGAGCCTTAAAGGGAAGAGGTTTTATAAAATTAAACCTGAATATTAACCTTATGACATTAAATTGAGGTTATATGAAGATTGAAGTGTTAATTTGAAAGTAAGAGAGGAATGAAAAGGGTTTTTTTTTTTTTCAATTATATAGTTACGGTTAAGTTTAAAAATACTTAAAAATATTCTTCCAAAAAGAAATTATACTTAAAAATAAAATATATTTAATAAATTAAAAATAAGTTATATTTAGATGATTTATATTAAAATTAAGTAAGATAATATATTTTTAAAAATTTATAATAAAAAAAAAAATGGTTATAAAGAATAAAAAATATAAAAATATTTAAAAATAAAAATATAAGATAAAATAAATTATAGATTAAAAAATTTAACTTTAAAAAGATAAGTTAAATCAAAAACAAGTTATATTTAAAACAAAAATTTTAATATATAACTTATATATTTTATTTTTAAATGTTTTAATCTTTAATAACCATTTTTTTAATTAATTATAAATTTTAGACAAAAGTAGACAAAATTAAATTTTCAGAAATTTTTTAAAAGATCAGGTGTCCTCTTACTCTTGTCATATATTTAATTTAAGAATAACATAAAAGCTACAAAGAGAAATCAATTAAAGCATAAAGAATTGATTAATTACAAGTATATTGTGAAGTGATTCTCATTCATGGTTTCCAAACTGCTGAAAAATATTGTTGAATAACAAACCAGCAACTACAAATAATCAGCAGCTAACTTACTGAATGTAATAATAAAATTTAACAATAATTTCTGCATTAAGTCAGAGCTAATCAGACGTGATAGTTATTCAGTTACTAGTTAAGAATCGAGTAAGACTGAAAATTACTGTTTCATCATTACAACTTCATAGGAGGTGAAAACATGAGAAACTTACCACGATATCTTTCATCGGATTAAAACTTGCTGTATTTCCTCCCATAAACATGTTGCTGCCATCACCACCGAAACTTGACGTGGCACCAAAAATGTTCATTCTTTAAAAAAATACCTGTAAGAAAAATAAATTAACTTTTAAAAACAACAAAAACATCTGGATAAATTTTTTTCATCAATTTCTGATGGACAGACATGACAATCACTCATCATTTTCAGTCAATTAAAAAATAAAGCATTTTTAGGGAATTTTTTTTTTTTTTTTTGTAAATTTCCTACTTAGAAGCTAAGGAAAAGGGCTATTGTTATTTGAAGGTAATCAAACAAAAAGATGTTATTCAATATACTGTGATAACAGGTCATCTGACAACTGCCTAACAAATAGAAATAAAAAAAAATCACTTTATGTCAATTCTAAGCAACCTTTCACTTCAAATTCATCTGCTTGTTCTACTGAGTAAGAATAACCAAGGAATCTGTGTACATTTTATTTTTAAATATGAATTTTCATTCTGAAATAAAAAAAATATATACCATACACTATTCAAGAGTTTTTAGATAGTGACGTAACTATCACAATATTTTTTATAGAATAAAGAAAACTGACTTGATCAGTCAGTAACCAATTTAATTTCACAAGAATGATTGAAAATTAACATTTGAAAAATGTTGATTTTGTTTTTGTAAACTAAACATCTATTATTGTTTAATATAAAAAGCACAAAAGTACTTATATTCTGTGAGTTAATGAAAGTATTTTTTTTATTTTTAGGGGGAAAAAAAAGGACAAAATCATAGGGTTTTTTTTCACAGAACTATACACAGCCACGTGCGAAGCAAAACAAAAAATAGTAAAAAAAAAAAAAAAGCAAAAACGAAAGATAATAGTCCGTTTAAAATAAGAAAAGGGATTAAATTCATATTAAAAAGGTACAGTTTTTTACTTTTATGTAATTTTAAAGATCCTGCAAGTAATAAGAAGCTTCCAAACGACCAACAATCTAATAATTAATAACTACTTTTAGTTTTTACACCAATACAAAAAGTACTAAATTTTAAATTCGAAATTTGATTGATTTCATTTAAATGCGGTGTTAACTGAATATTCTTTTTAACAAAATTAGATAAAAATTCTTTCTTGTAGAGCTTAGAGACAAAAAAAGTGTCAATATTAAAATAAAAATTAATGTAAATCTTGCAGCAATACACTGGTAATGAACGAGTACCAGATAAAAAAAAATAGTTTCACAGGTTTCTGTAAATAAAATATTTTAGGTTTTCCGACCTGAAGATTGAAAAATGAAAAATGCATTTTCTCTACTACTCTAAAAAGTTTATATTTTTATGAAAAAATATTAGGTCGCTGATTAGAATTATTTTTTATCATAAGAAATAAATAAAAGAACGAAGAAAAAAAAAAGTATGCGGACATAAAACAATTAGCATATCACTTTAGGTTATTTTTTTTAAAGATAGATTTGATGAAGGAAGTAGCGAAGTCTGGGGGTCCAACCAAAAGTATCAAACAGTAGCGTAGTGCAAGTGTAACTGGTTTCCATTCCCACACATGTATTCATTTTAAGAAATATTTAAAAAAAAAAAAAAAAACGAAACAAAAAGGTTTATCTCTTTCCCACGGTCATTTTTTTTTTATATTATTTTTATTTATTATATGATTCGCAAGGACTAAAAAGAAAGATTCTGGATTTGGGATAGGTGTTTGTTTGAACCTTTGAGTAGCAAAAATTAAAATCTAACAAAGCGACAAAAATATCACCGTTTTAAAATCAAATCGTAAAGGTCCATGTTGAGAACGACATTTAAAACTAGCAAAAAGGAGAGAAATCACTAAGGAAAAATAAAATACATAATTACATAAAAATCAATCAATTGTACGTTGTTTTTCTCGTTGGGTAAATTCAAATTTTTCGCAGGTTGGAAAAATAATCTTTCGCAGATAACTTTTTTTTCACTCGTGAACAGAAGGAAATAAAGGAGTTAAAAGAGGGGGAAAACGCCAGGCTTACCGAAAAAAATAACAATAAATAAAAAAGCTACTTCACTAAAATAATAATGATCCCGCTTGGAAGATGAAGATTAACGTCTGTAATATTATTATTGTTATAGAGGTCGTTCAGATTGGCTGTTTTTAAGGCACTAAGCGACCGCAGCATTTGATGATATTAGCGACAGGAAATAAATCCAAGAAAAAGGAGACCACGTGGTCGGTGTTAGCATCTCTTTACAGCTGTTTGATATTTTCAACTGGTTAATGAATGTTGTTAACCAGAAGTGTGGCTGCAAATATAAGGAAAATGTACAAGTTTATCGGTAGGTTTACCTCATCTTACTCCACTTCAACATCACATCGAATTGACAACTGTTAAAAGGATTGTGTACCAATGTTGGCGTATGTGGTGGAGGGAAATAACATACCTCCCATCCCCCCCCTCGGCCTTTTTTTTTTTTTTTGAGAAGAGAAAAAAAACATTTTTTTTAACAGGACCAATAATATTGATAAAAATAGCACAGTCGAATTATTCAAGCTACTACATTCTAGTTGGTTATATAAAATTTTATCTTGGAAAGAAATTCATAGTAGTGTTGTTCTGTTTCAAAGTTAGAGGATATTTTAAAATTTAAAAAAAAATAAAATAAAGTAGGCTATTTAATGTAAGTACGGTAAACTAAACAGAAGTACTTTAACTTTGTTTTTGTGGTGAATGATGCTAACAATGGTGTATCATTTATTTTAGAACAGTACTGACAAGTTAAAAACGTGAATGAAAAAAACTGAGTGTTACTGTTTCCAATATACCGCAGTTTGAGGAATAAGACAAACGACTATAAAAAAAGTTGTGGAAAACCATGATCGCTCACGTCCTGAAGGGACACGGCCCATAAATAAGGTGATCAGAAAGACTTTCTTTAACAATCTGAATTCAATTGGGTGGGTGTTCAAAGAAAATGGAATGGTATATTTTGAAACTTAAATTATTTATTTTGAATAAAAATTTAAAAAAATGTAATTCAAAATTTCAATGAAACCTTCAGCATACATTTCGCTGCCGGTTGAAATTTATAAAATCTTTATTCTTTTTAGTTTCTATTAAAACAGTTTTTCAGGAGAAAAAATGTTTCTCAAGTCCAGTATGGAGGCTTCAACATCTTTATTACGTGATTTTTTTTTCTTTGAGTTAAAATAAATGTGCTATCCATGTTTTATTTACTGTTGTTAAAAGTACTCAAATGATATATAGTTTCTGTTATTTCATACAATTCTTTGTAATCAGGTAGTGCCAGTTCGCAAGGTTCGATCCTCACTAAGACCTACAGGTTTCATTCGCTCGAAACCGTTTTTAAACCATTGATCTAAGAAAACGGTTGTATAGCTGACAGTTTATGATTGCATGACATCGATAGTCTCGATCTGATGAGGCTTCGAGTGTATTTTAAGAATATTGCTAACTAATAATTGCGTCATACTTTCAGAAAAAAAGTTGATAAAATTTAGTTTTGCTGCCAATATTTTTTTTTCACCGAGTTCTTACATACACGCACATAGTTCATAAGAAAAGGTCGCCAAACTAAGTAACTAAATAAAAAATGAAAATGTCTCCGTGATTGAACTTAGAGTTGAATACAAAAATTTATTTTGACGAAGTATTGTAAATTTTAAAAATGTATTTAGCCTAAACTTGATAGAAAACTGGAAGAAAAAAATGAAGGCAGGAGGAGACTGGGACTAGAGAGTATAGCAGTCGGAACATTTTTACTTTTTAGAGAGAAATCTGGGTAAAATCGGAAAAGGTGGGGTTAAAATCAACAATATACTTTCTAAATTAACATTTGATGAACTGCTTTCCATTCATTTTAAAGTAAAAGTAATTTTTAATTAAACTCGCTACTTTTTAATTTTGATGACTTAACGAGAAAAAGAGTTCTGTTACACTTAAAAGCATCTGAATAAAATTGTTTTTTTTTTTTAACTTTACTTTTACTTTGAAAGGTGCGGTGTGTTGGTAAGTTAACAAAAAAAACCCGATTCCGTTAATTCGGAAAAGAGAAACATGAAATCATTTCTCCCTACACGGCAGTGTTTATTAGAAATAAAATAGTAAAAGAGCACTTTGACCAATAGAGGAGTGCCAATGAACACAAATATGTTATTGTTATATTTGCAATTGCAAGAATGGTACAGTTTGGATTGGAATTACCAATTAATAAAGAAAGAAAAAAAAAAAAAAAAAAAAAACACCAGCAAAGTTGGAAAAAAAAAATTTGGAGAATTTTTCCACCAAAATAAAACACGTTTAACAGCTTAAGTTTCAGAAATAGTAATTTTCACAGACTTCTTTTTAAAGTGTTTTTATAGTGCAATTAAAATTTAAATATTCATCCCTACTTACTACTACACTACTTGAAGCATTCGTATGACCTATGGAGCCAAGATTTTTTTTTTTAATGTAAAAAAAAAAAAAAAATTAAAAATAGATCTTTCGTCGCATTTTTAGAGAGTAAAAACAAACAATTACGTTCAATCAAAATTAAAAACCCCATATTCTTGAGAAAAGAAAGAATTGCTAAATAATTTAGTGACTAAAAAAAAATAAAATAAAATTACATGTTGCTTGATGAGTAACAACTGTAAATTCTAAAAATTAGTCTCTTCTAGCTAGACTGTCCAACTTTGATTATTCTCAATATTTATTTTTCTCTCTCTTCTTTTTTCAAACCAAAGAAAGACTTTCTATCGCAGAAGAAAAAAACTACGATCAACTAATTATTAACTGTTAGTTAGTGTTACTGTTGTTTGTAACCAGGAGTTAACGAAGAAAAAAAAAATCATCTTTTGGAAACTTTATTTTTTTTTTTTTAATAGTTTTATTATTTAAATAAATAAAAAGTAACAAAATAAGTTTAATTTGAAGGACGGAGAAAGTACTTCGACAATAATAAACAATTTTTTTTAACTGAATGAAACGATAAATGAAGTTGAAAGATAAAGTTACTTATTTCACTGTTAGTTTTTTTCTTTCAGTACTGTAATGT